CAGTGTCCCGACCGCGCCACCGCGGCTTTCATCTCCCGCGGCCCACAGCCTGGCCTCTCCAGGGATTCCACACCGTCTTCCCGGCCGGCCCGAGGCTAGTCCCGAGGCTCAGAGGCCCCCGTCCCGCCAGGGTGAGCGGATCTTGGGACTCGAGGAGGGGCGGCCGCTACACAGAAGCAGGTTGGGAACAGAGCCCGGGGTTTCCTGGACGGCGGGAACCGAGGGCTGCCTCTGTCCCCCACCCACAGCCTGGCCTCTCCAGGGATTCCACACCGTCTTCCCGGCCGGCCCGAGGCTAGTCCCGAGGCTCAGAGGCCCCCGTCCCGCCAGGGTGAGCGGATCTTGGGACTCGAGGAGGGGCGGCCGCTACACAGAAGCAGGTTGGGAACAGAGCCCGGGGTTTCCTGGACGGCGGGAACCGAGGGCTGCCTCTGTCCCCCACCTTGAGGCCCACGATCTTGAGGGTTGCCCGTCCTGGTCCGGCGCCTGTGTTGGGATGTGTGTGAAAAGCCAGGGCGGTGTGGTATGCGGGTGTTGCACTGTGTGTGCATATTTTGTGGGCCTGGAGACGGGTGTGTTTGGTGTGGGGGCGGTAGAGGCTCCAGTCCCGAGGCTCAGTGAGTCAGGGAGACGCAAGGCCTGGCTACCTCTGCGCACGCTGGTCACAGGCTCACCCGCCAACCAGGACCCTGGAAGGTCCCCTTATGTGGTAAGTGACACGAATATACACACCTGAAATGTGGCAAGGTTCACTGCAGCCCCTGTCCCAGACCCACTTCTGGACTGTGCACTGCCATAAACATAGGCACACACTCTTGTTTAGGGAGATGAGTTTTGGCAAGATGAGTTTACAGGCAAGATCCCTCCTCAGCCTGACCTAGGCCTCTCCCCAGGCCTCAGGAAGTGGGTTCCGGCAGGATCAGCCCTGTAGGTTCAAATGGGTCCTGGGACTGAGTGGTCCTGCCTGTCCTTCAGGTTGATGACCTCTGGGCCCATAAGCTCTCTGCCCTTGCTGAACCCACTAAGGTACCTGCTTGTCTAGCCTCTGAGCAGGAGCTGAGGGCTGGACACCGACCTTGGAGGCAGGACTGGGAGTATTGTCACTCCTGGTCCCATGGCCTTGGAGGCTAAGGGTGTTGGGTTCCTGGGTGTGTGCTGAGAAGTCTAGGGGAGCCGCCCACCAGCCAGGAAGTCTCTGGCCTGGCTCGGGCTGAGATGGGGCTGGGCATCTCCCTTCTTGCCCTCCTCCCTCCTGAACGGCACCCTGGCTCCTCCAGCTTGGCCAGCTGGGGCCCGCTCTGTCACCCCCAGTCCATCTGACGCAGGAGGAAACATCCAGATTGGTGAGTTGGGGGGGTGGGGGAACTCAGCCCTGGAATGAATCAGGATTGAATGAGCCGGGAGAAGGTGACAGATTATCCCCATGGGACTCTGGACATCAGGCCTGAGGCATTCCTCCCATGTCCCTGCACACAGCCCCTTCTGGACTTAGAGAAGTCTCCCAGCTCAAGAACCTGGGCACTGTCCATGACACTCCAGCTCCTTCTCCAAGAGGAGCAGACCAGCCGGCAGAGTGATGCTTCACAACTCCAGCCACAGGGAAGGCATGGCGCATGAGGGTAAGAACCTCTTGATCCAGATTTTGGGCACTGGGTAGAATGGGTGTTACTCCAGGTGAGTAGGTCACGTACAAGAGCAGTCACAGGCTCTGGAGTTCCTTTCCCTTGTGCCCTGCCCGCACTAGATTGTTGGGACAACTAGCCTCCAGGTAGAAGCAAGCAGTAGCATTTACTTGCCTCCCAGTTCAGCTTTAGTTTACAAAAATTTACAAGGTCTTCTGTGTACAGAGGCCCCCACAGAAACCAACAGAAATGTATGGGCTCTCACAGTGCAGACTTGGAAGGGGAGACAGGACACGCAGTTCAGTGCCATATTAGTCAGAGGAGGTGTGACAGGAGCCAGAAAAGGGAGAGACTGGGGGAGAACAAGGAAGCTTCCCAGGATAGGATATTACTGCTAATTGTAATAAACAATTCCCAGGATAGGATATTACTGCTAATTGTAATAAACAATTCTAAAATGCGAAGGCAGTTAGAGCTGCAGAAGGTAGAACAGCAAGAGCAGACATCTGGAAGCCTGGGAGGAGGGCGCCTCTACTAAGGGCTAGGTGTCCACGAGTGGGAGCAAAGAGGAGGCTGTGGGAGATGAGCATGGGAAAATGGGCCAGTCGGCTCTTGATGCCATGGTATGAGCTTTTGATTCTACATAGTAGAGGCTATTATCGTACCAAAACTTTTGACAGCAAAGTCTAGGTGAGGCTGCCCAGGGCATCTAGTGATTTCTTGCCCCGACTGTCTTTCCTTTCTTCCACAGATGAGACCTGGAGGGGGCAAGACAGGGATAGGGGAGTGTGGATAGGGGCAGGGGGAGCTCGGGCCCCCAATACCTCCTTCTCATTTCCCCCTGAGCCTCCAGAGGCCTCGGGCAGCATCATCCCTGTCTACTGTGCCGTCCTGGCCACCGTGGTCCTTGGTCTACTTGCCTACGTGGCCTTCAAGTGGTAGGTGGCCTGGGCACTGCCCTGTGGTGTCCCCTCCCCATCTGGACTCCCAGCCAGCTCTCTCTCTGTCTCAGTGAAGGTGAGAGCAGGTTGGCAGGTCCCTCCTGCTCCCTGCAGCTGGCGCTCACATAAACAAAGACAGCAACTGGCCAAAGCTCGGACTGCAGAGCTGGGGGCCCTGGACAGGAACCAGATGCATGTGGATAGCAGTGTCTTCCCAGACTCATCTAGTGGGCTGGAGTCCTGTGTCCCCGACCAGGGTGAGTCCCTTTCCCCATTCTACAGTCCTTCAGACCTAATTCTGCTTCCGCGCTGAGACCCTCATTTGCTCATGTCTCCCGCCCCAGGGCTGCATCCTGAGATCGGCTGCCGGCTTTACCTTCATCTCCCTCGGCAGCAGCAAGAGGAAGTGGAGCGGCTCCTGGAAGCATCAGGCGAACCTGACAAGGGCTGGCAGGGCCTGGCGGGCCGCCTGGGCTACCAGGCTGAGGCTGTGCAGTCCATGGCCCAGGGCCGTGTGCCAGCCTACACTCTGCTGAGGGACTGGGCTATCCAGGAAGGCAGCGGTGCTACCCTCAGGGTGCTGGAGGACGCCCTGGCTGCCATGGGCCGTGAAGACGTGGTCCGGGTTCTGGGCCTCCCAGTGGAGGGCTGCTCCGTGGTGTGAGCGATGCCTAGACAGCCTGGCCTCTCAGGGAACCTGCTCCGGTGCTCCCTGCCGTGCCCACCTCCTGCGCCTTCCCTTTCATGGGCTTCCTGGCATCGGTGGCCTCAGCCTGCTCTGTCCCAGGGAGACACGGAAGGTCCAGTCACCATTCACCTCCCCTCGCCCTACCTTCCTCCAAGACAGGGACCAGGATGTGGGGGGAGTGGGCCTGCCCTTCTGAGCCCCACCCCACCTCTTTGTACTTAGCCGCAACTGTTTTTCTACTTTTGTATTCCGTATTAAAGGCAACTTCACAGTATTGTACTGGCTCGGTCTGGCTCCTTGGGCCTATGACACCATTGGGTGGCAATGAGGCAGAGGCCCAGAAAACGGGTGGGGTCCCTAGGTTTTGAAAGGTGCACCTGGGCCGGCAGGTATTGTGCTCCTCCCAGAGAAGATGCATGAGCCCTGGAGGCAGAGCATTCACATAGTGTATCTGCCATTCACTGGCTGGACCATGATAGGAAATATTTTATCTTTCTGAAATTTAGCTTCCTTAGCTGGAGAATAAGAAATAGAATGGCACATTCAGTAGGTCACCCTACCTTCTAAGACTCCCAGTTTGGCACTGAGGGGCCTTAGGGTTGAGACCATTTTCATCACTTGTGCTGTGACCAGCATCAAGGGGAAGCTGGAGGCCTGTCCCTCTAGGCAGGAGGCAGACTGGTCTCGGGAGGCTGGTTACCAAGGGCCTCTGGTCACCACTAGTTGAGAAAAGGAAGAAAGGGCGAGGGTTTAGGTGAGGAAGGTCCAAACGTGCTTCCACTGCTGTTTTATGTGATTTCTACAGAAGCCCAGGGCAGGCAGGTCATCCCACTCACTTGAGGGACAGCTGAGGACAAGGCAGCTGCAGCCAAATCATTTGCACCTCACACATATGCCTACCCCGGAGAGAGGCAGGCAGGTTGCTGGTTACTGTGCCTTCGGAGAGGGCTGCTACAGCAGACAGACCCTACCTAGGAAGGAACAATGGCTATCATCCTGGCATCCCCCACCCAAAGCCACCAGAACTCACTCAGGAGACTGGGATCCAGTCATGGCCCAGGGAGCCCAGGGTAGATCCCGTCTCCTGGCCGACTGGGACTGGCTGCTCTGGGAGAACCAGACTCATTAGGCTGCTGCTGCTACTCCTCAGAAGCAGTTTACCAGGGACGCTTAACCCCATAAATCTTTTCCTCAACCTAAAGAAGGGCAGGCTTAGAGCCACCTCCATCCTCAGGTGACCCTTGGGCAATAACAACCCAGGAGAGAAAGGAGGAAGGACTCAGCATTCAGTCAGAATCAGACCAGCGCTGCAGACATCACATCTGCTTCGGCAGGAAGTCAGCCACTGGCTTGGCAGTGAGTGTGAAATCCTGCATCGAGTGGCATGAACAGGTTCTCAGTTAGCTGGCAGCCCTTATCACCACTGAGGGGACTGGAGCCTGAAAGTGTCAAGGGGTGTGTGGAAGGGAAGATTTTGAAGAAAATAACAATTCCTCTCTGAAGGTGTCCTATCTGAAATATGACCGCATCCTGGTCACTACCCTTTAATGCAAGGCTGCCTAGATTTCCTTGGAAAATCTGAAACCTGGAGTCTGGAGACTGACTTGGTTGCAAGCAGCAGTGCATATGGCCACACACACGCCTGCTAATATGCTCGACCACATGAACTGAAACACACTGTAATAAACAATTCTAAAACGTGAAGGCAGTTAGAGTCCATCTATTTGCTATAATAATGTGCTTTCCAACAGTTTGAAGGCTGCAGTGTCATGGAAAAAGACAGACTTTGGCTACCTTGCTAAATAGCATGTCTAATGATTATGACTTTGGCTACCTCGCTAAATAGCATGTCTAATGATTATGACTTCTCTTCTATGTTAACAACTCCTTTAATATGAGGGTATGAGATGAGTTACTGAACCTCGCCAAACCTGTTTCCTCATCAGACAGTGCCAATTCCTGTGAGGATTAAATGAGCACAGCCTGAGCTCTAAGTAGCGTGCCCTCCCTTCCCAAGCCCCCTAAGTGCCCAGCGCAGTGCCCAGCAGGCAATGAGTACTCTAACTGCTGTCCATGCCACCCACAATTTGGCAGGCCACAGCCTCTTCCCCAGGGACATTGCTGCAGTGCGCAAAATGACCTCAGTGAGGAAGAAATGAGACCAGTCTCTTTGCAAAGATGGGCCTGAAGCCTCTGGCCCTCCTCACTGCCCAGACAACTGGTCCATCAAGGGGTGTCCGTGTGGGCGGGTCTCCATTGGGCCCTGCATCCTCCAGATGTCCACTCTCATCACAACCTGTACACTGTAACCTTTCAAAAGGGCGCCCCTCTACTGTCCGAGCCCAGTGTCAGATGGCATGGTGGGAGACCCAAATTTGCATCAAATGGGCATTCCAGGGGGCTCGGGGAATCAAGTCTTTGGAGGGAAGAGGGTCGATGCTGTTCCCCAGCCAGGAGGTATAAAAGGGGAGACATGTGCCTTTCTCTTGACTGACCTGTTAACCAAGTAAAGAAGTCCAGTGCCAGTGAGGCCTTAGGTCCACTTCCTTTGCTCTGGAATGCACATGCAAGTTGACTCTGCCCCTCAGCACAGCCACCAGATCCCAAGGTCACAAGTGTCAGTCACCTGGTAAATGTCTGCTTTAGTCCCAGTGGGACCTGTGGTGAACAAGGCCTGTGATAAGCTCCAATCTCAAAGACCAATTTTGGACTTCACACATCTATAACCACTATCTTTTCTTTCTCTCCAGTAATATTTCTATGCACAAACATGTTTGACTAGCTTTTACGGAACACACGTGTCAAGTTCTTTAATTAATTTTATTTTTTACATAAAAAGTTCAGTAAAAATTGGATAAAGTAAAGTGATTTTAAGCAGTAAATCAATCTTATCAACATAGCACACGGCTGGCCGAAACCACAAGGCAGCCTGCTTTGGAATATTTACATGATAACAAATTAAACCTTGCAGGAGAACTTAAACCTTCCTTACAAAGTCTTCCTGTGATCCTAGCACGTAGAGGCTAAAAGCAAAACAAAACCAAACAAAAACCAGGAAAAAACCAAACAAATTATTTTCAATATATTCACATATACATTAAAATATAATACAGATCGTCAGGGTGAGGGGTTGTGGGTGGGGACGCGCATGGGTCTGTGCGCTGACAGCACCGCCAAGGAGGAGACCCAGGTTGGAGAGTGGGGCCAGGTCTGGCTGGGGTCTTAGAGGGCAGGGTCTCCCCTAAGCCCCTGGCTCTGACGGCCCCTAACCACACACCCCAAAAGCTCACGACCAGGGATCGCTTGTTGTAGACTGAGCTCATTTCTGGGCTCATTGTTGAAATTTGCAGGTTTGAATTCCCCAGGGTGATGTGTCATCAGTAGCACAGCCTTGACAGAAGGGCGGAGCAGAGACGGCTCACTGGATTTCTTCTCCCCAGAGTCTGTCCTACCTGCTCACCTGTCCTCCCACCCTGGCCCCATAAGTCACTCTAATTCAGTGTCCTCTTTGGGTTTGTAAACAGCCCCAAACTTCTGCATGTACTTCTTGATGTACTCCTTGGTTTTGTGTTTCACATTCTCATTGCACTCCAGGTCCTCGGGGTTCTTACAGTACTTCAGCTCCTTATTCATAACACCGTGAGTCAGCTGTCCAGGACAGAGGAAGAGAGACCACAGCCACCAGTCAGAGTGGAAACGAACTGTGTGTGGACGAGGAAGCGGGGGCGGGGCGGGTGGGGTGGAGGAAGCGCCTGCAGCCTCAGCGCCCTTCTCACCAAGGCTGGGAGCTGAACAAGGAGTCAGGCTGGGGGAGGCTGGTGCCAGAATCACCAAAGGGCAAGCTCAGCTCTGGCAGTTTTTTCAAGAATCGCTACACTCGAGTAGGGTGACCTCCCTTCCCAAACCTCCCCTCCCCGTTCCTGGGTCCCTAGCCTGGGCGTCTGGCAAGGAAAACCCACTTTCCATGATGAAAGAGGCCCTCTTAGAAGGTACGCAGTTTGAGGAGAATACCTTGCGAGCTAGGTGTTTGAAGTCTTCGGTTGTGGTAATTCTTCCCACTTTGCAGTCAGGTTTCCGGTAAGGGTTCAGGCACTGGACAATAAACTGGGACATCTGCAGGCAGGAAGAAGAGAACACACCGCTCAATACTTGAGAAAGGGCAAGAAGCTGTACTGAGGACATAAGTGGAAAAGACAGCAAGTAGCGCTGGCCGATCCTTCCCTTTTCCTCACTCGGCTGGCTGGTTTGGACAGAACAATGCCAGTATGCCAACGGGGTATAAGACAAAAAGGATCCTGAGTCAGCCCTGACAGGGAGAGCTTCCTTGGATGGATTGAGCTGGCCGGACTTCGAGCAGTAGATGGAGGCACCCAGCAGCGGGATCCACTGCTGGTCTCACAGCAGCCCCAGGTTTCAGTAATGAATCTCATGTCCTTACAGAGACTGTAGCTAAGTCCTCTGGCTCCTGGAGGCAGGGCAGAGAGGGTGTTCCAGTGCTTCTAGGAGGCTCGGCAACCCCCCAAAATGCAGGCGCTTTGTTACTGAAGGTGACTCAAGGTTCTGTAAATGCTACATTTCATCCGGTGCATACTACAGGAGTGTGAGCAGATGGAAGCACAGTATGACAGCCGCTGGGAGAAGATGCAGGGAGGTGCCCTTTTCAGTTTACAACTTCCAATGTTCTCCTGGGCTGTCTCTGTGCTGTCCTACCCAGTGGCTCTCAAAAGAGACCCAGGCACAAGACTCTGAAGTATTTATGGTGCTAAGATCCCAGGGGACAAAGGGAACAAGGAGGTCAGTGACATCCACTTCGCCAGGGAGCTCCCTGAACAGGGGTCTACCCATCTCTGAAATGCAGATTCAAAAAACAAGGCTATATCACCAGGTAGGCACTAAATAAACAGCTGCTGGTTGGCTGAGCTGAAACACCAATAATTTCACACAAGGACTGTGAGAAACTAAGTCTTATCTCTGGATAAGGCTTTTACGCAAAGTTTTTCTGTGATCTCCTGGCCTCCATACTCCCCCCACTTCAATCCATTTCCCTAAATACAGTCAGGGATCTCATTACTCCCAGCTTAAAATCCTGCAATGGTTCCCTATACAGCACAGACACACAGGCTCTGTATGAAGAAGCACTACACTGTGCAGCCTCATACGCCCTGTGCTACAGCCTGGGGATTACGTACAAACCCCCGGAAGGGCCAGTGCGTTCTTTTGCCTCTGTACATTCTACCGCCTGAAGTCACGTCCCTCCTGATCGGCCTGGTCAATTCCTA